GACTATTACTGTGCATAATTATTAGGCAACTTGACAAAAAACAAATATATACCCATTTCAATTATTTATTATTACCAACATTCACAAATATACATTTCTGACATTCAAAAACAAAACAAAAACAAATCAGTGACCAATATAGCCACCTTTCTTTGCAAGGACACTCAAAAGCCTGCCATCCATGGATTCTGTCAGTGTTTTGATCTGTTCACCATCAACATTGCGTGCAGCAGCAACTACAGCCTCCCAGACACTGTTCAGAGAGGTGTACTGTTTTCCCTCCTTGTAAATCTCACATTTGATGATGGACCACAGGTTCTCAATGGGGTTCAGATCAGGTGAACAAGGAGGCCATGTCATTAGATTTTCTTCTTTTATACCCTTTCTTGCCAGCCACGCTGTGGAGTACTTGGACGCGTGTGATGGAGCATTGTCCTGCATGAAAATCATGTTTTTCTTGAAGGATGCAGACTTCTTCCTGTACCACTGCTTGAAGAAGGTGTCTTCCAGGAACTGGCAGTAGGACTGGGAGTTGAGCTTGACTCCATCCTCAACCCAAAAAGGCCCCACAAGCTCATCTTTGATGATACCAGCCCAAACCAGTACTCCACCTCCACCTTGCTGGCGTCTGAGTCGGACTGGAGCTCTCTGCCCTTTACCAATCCAGCCACGGGCCCATCCATCTGGCCCATCAAGACTCACTCTCATTTCATCAGTCCATAAAACCTTAGAAAAATCAGTCTTGAGATGTTTCTTGGCCCAGTCTTGACGTTTCAGCTTGTGTGTCTTGTTCAGTGGTGGTCGTCTTTCAGCCTTTCTTACCTTGGCCATGTCTCTGAGTATTGCACACCTTGTGCTTTTGGGCACTCCAGTGATGTTGCAGCTCTGAAATATGGCCAAACTGGTGGCAAGTGGCATCGTGGCAGCTGCACGCTTGACTTTTCTCAGTTCATGGGCAGTTATTTTGCGCCTTGGTTTTTCCACACGCTTCTTGCGACCCTGTTGACTATTTTGAATGAAACGCTTGATTGTTCGATGATCACGCTTCAGAAGCTTTGCAATTTTAAGAGTGCTGCATCCCTCTGCAAGATATCTCACTATTTTTGACTTTTCTGAGCCTGTCAAGTCCTTCTTTTGACCCATTTTGCCAAAGGAAAGGAAGTTGCCTAATAATTATGCACACCTGATATAGGGTGTTGATGTCATTAGACCACACCCCTTCTCATTACAGAGATGCACATCACCTAATATGCTTAATTGGTAGTAGGCTTTGAGCCTATACAGCTTGGAGTAAGACAACATGCATAAAGAGGATGATGTGGTCAAAATACTCATTTGCCTAATAATTCTGCACTCCCTGTAGAGATACACATTGAGACACACACTGACACACACACAGATACACATAATGACAACATAGAGATACACACTGACAGACATATTGAGACACACACTGACAGACATACTGATACACCCACTGACACACACACACACACACACACTGACAGATGTACTGACATATGAACACACACACACACATTAACAGATGTACTGACAGACGTAGACACACATACTGACAGACCATCTGACACACACAGGCATACTGACAAACATTGACACTAACATACTTACTGACACACACTGACAGACATACTGACACACGCACACAGACATACTGACACACGCACACAGACATACTCACACACACATACAGACACGCTGACATACACACAGACACCCTGAATGACATACTGACTCACAGAGACATAGTGACACACACAAAGACACCATGACAGATATACTGACACACACACACATAGTGACACACACACACAGACATAGTGACACACAGACACCCTGACAGACATAGTGATAAACACACACACACACACACACACACACACACAGTGACACACACAGACATACGGACACACACACAGTCACCCTGACAGACATACTGACACACACAATGACATACTAAGACACACACAGACATGGTGACAAACACACATAATGACATACTGACATACTGATGCACACACATATATAGTAAAACACACACAGACACCCTGACAGACATACTAAGACACACACATCTTCAGCCCCAGTTACTGCGGGAATGGGTATTTACTTGTGCTGATGGTTCCAGAGTGGTTGAAGGAAGGTAATAGCGGAGGTAACCAGTTGGGAGTTGTTCGGGAGTCGAACAAACATAGCACCCAGCTATGGGTTTGACAAGATGCTGAAGGAGCTGTTGGTTTACTAGGAACCAGCCCAGCTAAGAAATATGTACAGCACATGAGGAAAATAGTGTCTGAGTATCTGCAGCGCACAGCAGAACAGGCAAGCGAACGGGCATGGTGGGGGATATCCCCGCCCCAGCAGCATTGTGCAGTCCATGGAGAGAAGTGTATCGTCCTTCCTACCCAGCGGCAGGGCTAGTTATTGGGGGTGGAGACAGTTGGTCTCACTCCCCAACAGCAGTGTGGGGTCCAGGGAGAGGAGACAACCGGTCTCACCAGAGAACCAACATGCTCACTTTGAGAGGGGGCATGCTTGGCATTGGTGATGACAAAACACACCTCAGGTGTGTTTTGTCATCACCAATGCCAAGCATACCCCCTCTCAAAGTGAGCATGTTGGTTCAATGCTCTTCCAGCGCAGCCCATGCGCAGAGCCTTGGTGAAGAGCTCTCACATGAGAAAAAGACCCGTGTTTGTTCTGAGAAGTGCAAGTACATTTATTAATTCATTTATTATAAATGCTTGCGCTATGTTTGTTTGTGAGATAGTTACATAGCTGAAAAGAGACTTGCGTCCATCAAGTTCAGTCTACCTCACATTTGTTTTTTTGCTGTTGATCCAAAAGAAGGCAAAAAAACCCAGTTTGAAGCACAATTTTGCAACAAGCTAGGAAAAAAATTCCTTCTTGACCCCAGAATGGCAGTCAGATTTATCCTTGGATCAAGCAGTTATTACCCTACATTGAAAGATTATATCCTTGAATATTCTGTTCTTACAAGTATGCATCTAGTAGCCGTTTGAACATCTGTATGGACTCTGATAAAACCACTTCCTCAGGCAGAGAATTCCACATCCTGATTGTTCTTACAGTAAAAAAACCTTTCCTTTGCCTTAGACGAAATCTTCTTTCTTCCAGTCTAAACGCATGGCCTCGTGTCCTATGTAAAGTCCGGTTTGTGAATAGATTTCCACACAATGGTTTGTATTGGCCCGAATATATTTGTATAATGTTATCATATCCCCTCTCAGGCGACGTTTTTCTAAACTAAATAGGTTTAAATTTGTTAACCTTTCTTCATAGCCGATATGTTCCATTCCTTTTATTAATTTTGTAGCCCGCCTCTGCACTTTTTCTAGTGCCATAATATCCTTCTTTAGAACAGGTGCCCAAAATTGCACAGCATATTCAATATGGGTCTTACCAGTGATTTATAAAGAGGCAAAATTATATTCTTGTCCCGAGAATGAATGCCCTTTTTCATGCATGACAATACCTTACTGGCCTTGGCCACTGCCGATTGACATTGCACATTGTTGCATAGTTTGTTGTCTATAGCAATTCCCAAGTCTCTGGTGTCTCCATAAGTGGGATACCAGAGGACAAAAGGGCCAGGAAAGGGTATTGTGCATGTGTTTGGAGCCTGCTTGTGGGATTGAGTGTGTGTAGAGTGAGCCCATTTCGGTGTGGTGCTTTGTGTAAAGGTTGGTTTTAGTTTTGTTGTAATATGTGTGGCTAGGTGCTGTAGAGAGTGAAAAAAGAGTGTGTGTATGTGAGGTGTTCAGTGTGTGTGGGAAGTGTGCAGTGTGTGTGTATTTATTTATTTTTTCTCCACCTTCTCATGTTCCTTCTTCCTGATGTTATAGTCCCTGGGTATTGAAAGGATGTGGAAAGTGAAGGCAGTAGTAGTCCTAGTTGTGATAGGAGCACTCGGGGCTGTGACTCCCAAGTTGGGGGATTGGCTTCAACAGACTCCAGGTGGGACATCTGAGATCACTGTCCAGAAGAGTGCAGTTCTATGAACAGCTAAGATACTGCGCAGAACCCTCAAACTCCCAGGCCTCTGGAAGAGGACCCTAGAATGAGGAATAAACATACCACCCAGGAGGGGTGAGAAAATCAATTTATATATATACATGTATCAGAGCTTGCTACATGTTAAGCAAGATAACCTGATATAATTTACACTTATGTTGACCAAGACTTCTTAATTTCAATGAAACCTAAGGGATGTCCCTACTTCTAAAATTCCCTTTTGTCGCAGACTCAGCACTTACTTCTGGAAATACCCTGGTTGTTTTTCTCCCCTTAGCATTTTGGTTAACGACCGCACCAAATGTTGCTGCGTACTACTGCACATGGAGGTATTATGCACAACCATAACTGTTCATATAGAAATATATCTGTCAATTATAGTGTTTGTGATATTTGACTCGGCTCCATGTGAGTATCCGGCTTACCTGACTGTGGTTAATTTAAAATGAGAATTTCTGACTTAGGCTTGCTCCTTGATTATGCTGACCTTGTATGGGTTCTACCTCTCTAGAGGTTGTTATTTTTATTTTTTTATATTAGCATAGCTATTCTAAGGACAGGTAAAACACTTCCCTCTATATTCTTATTTTTTCTAATTAGGTAACTAGGCAAGTAGGCATATCCTGCAAGAAGCATCTTTTTTTGTATATCCTATAAAGCAACATTTTTACATTAAGGTTAATCATAGGGGAATATCACTATATATATGTTTATATAGTGTTGTAAAGAAGTGGCTGCACTCATGGTCTTAAATAAAATCCAAATTTTATTGTAAATCTATAAAATAGATCGGCATTTCAGTCCCTCTAGGGGATTTTCAAAGCAATCAATAGTTAACTTTTTCGTTTACTTTTATTTTTTTAAAGGAGATGGGCAGAAAGGAACCTATCATCCCGAAATAATGATTCTTATAATTGGGACTATAGGTTCCGTTTAACATGCTCCACATGAAAACTAGCTACACTTTTCTTCCAGTGAATTTCTAACCACACAGAAAGAGGAAGACTCAGCATGGCCTAAAGAAGAACTATCACTTTGCTGGAAATTACACCATTAATTCAACCTATAACTTGTGTTTCACATTTTTTTTTGTCATGCTCTGTTTTATTTTAAATGTATATTAAAGATTTAGCAATTTACATCACAATCCTGTTCAGTCCTGGCACAGCCAAGGCACGAACTGCACTGAAGGAGGAGAAACAGTAACTGACTGCTAGGGACAAAGGCCTGAGCTTTTTATCAATGATTAACAGGGAGCAAAGATGGAGAAGCCCACTTGCAGGATAAAGAGGTGTGGATTTCTCTATTTACTATTTCAACACCTCACAAATACATATCTCTTTAAAAATATAAATGAATAAATGTAGTATTAGAAATCCTGGGAAGTGACTGTCCCCTTGTCTGGATCGTATGGCTCTTACCTGGGTCCACCGGTGTTCTCTGCGATGCTTCAAGCTCACACACTGCGGGTTCTTTGCTGAATTGAATTCGGCTCATTATGGTAATGTTTTTAATCATTCAAAAAGATTTTCTATCACCTACGAAATATAAGGAATTTGTCTATGATGGGGGACAATAGAAATTAAGTACTGCCTATATATATACTTACCTCCCCCACGTCATGCTGCCCTGCTGTGGTTCAAGTAGCCGAAGAGAGCTATCCTTGTATAACCTTTTTCTGGTACCTGATATTGTCTGTTTATACGTTTCTCCTGATCTCTGTGTTTCTTCGACCTTGGCTAGTTTAGTTGTTTATCCGTATCTCTCCGTCACTTGACCTCGCCATTCTCTCTTGAATCCTACAAGTCAGTATGTTTAGGTTCCTCCACCTTCCTGACACCCCGTATCAAAGTCAAATTTTCAAAGCAAATTTATGCAATTGTATTCTAAAAGTTGTGATTTGTTAGTTCTTTATAAGCTCATTCAATATCCTCTGGTTGCAGGTTTATGTAACAGTTTAAGTAATTACAAAATGTACTTTCACTGTGTTCTTTTAAATTGACACAATTACTCTTGCATGTTTTTGTAACTCAACAAGTGCTCAATATACAGCAAGCCTGTGGGAAGGTATGAGTCCACACTGTGATGCTGACTGGTCTCTCTTATAGTCTGTGCCTTTTATATGGGACTCTAAGAATGATGATTTCCTTCTTATCTTCATCAACCTCTTCCAGAGCAACTTTTGCATCTAAATGGAAAAAAAATGCATGCAGGATATTTTAGTTCGGAATGTTCACACAGTGCTGTAAATCAGTGATAGATATGTGTATGTGCGCACATGGTGATATTAAAGATGGTATTTGAAATTATAGTATTCCACATAACAGGAGATCCAAGGCAGGGAGGTGGCAAGAATAACCTAGTAACAGCGTCGTTTCATTATTTATAAGTAGGCTACTTAATTATTAGTGTTGTCTGCACAATAATTTAACAAGAAGACAAATGTACCATAACTGAATGTACATATTATATATCAATGAGTAGAAGCACTCCATGTGTTTTTGTGTTGACTAATCACGGTCGGTGCAAGGATTTTTGTCTACACGGGTGAAGATGGATATTGCCCACCCAAAATTCATCTTCACCTGTCTGTCTAATATCCCCCCTTGCCCTTTTGCCCCTCTTGTGCATCGTAGCACCTATTCGTTTCTCTTTTCACATATTGTATCCCCTATTTGTCATTCGTTTCATGCTTTTGCATCCCAATTATGTGGTCTCTTAACCCCCTTGTGACACACACACACACACACACACACACTGGCTCATACATACACACTCGCTTATACACACACTCACTTTCTCTTATACACTCACTCACACACACACACACATACACACACACTTACTGTTTCTTACAATTGTTAAGCAGAGGTCCCACCAGGTGTTGCTGCCCAATTTAAGTTGCCCATCTCTCTCCACAGCACTCGGCTGCCAAGATATGATGTCATGTATCCCAGCAGTCTTTAGCTCATGAAGAGATTGGACGCGGCTGCTCCTTGCTGCTCCCTTTGCTGGAACCACCCCCTCGTGGCTGCACACTTTTTTCCCATCACACAGCCAGCTCGGTAAATTAGTAACATGGGCATTGGGCCTGGTTACAGAGAGTGACTGGCAGCAGAGGGGTTCTCTGTGCTCCGCCGGTCACCAGAACATCTTCGCACTTCTCGGGTCGGTGCCGCCTTATGGTAGTGCTTGCACTGGACCTGAACAAAGGATGGAGATATTAATTGTCTGAAAGCTATTGAGCTGCCACGTTTGGCCGTTCCTTTTGGAAAACAATGGCACATTGTAAAACAGCTACAAATGTATAGAAATAAAAGAAATATGTTACGTTATATACTATATAAAGGCATGCTTGCATCCACATGTTATGCAACACACGTTCCCCTTCACCCCAATAATTATTTCTTGGATTTCCTATTCAAATGAAAGAAGGCTAGCCATATCTGCTTCAACCACTTTTAGTAATATTTCCAGCAGTTCTTTTTTCGTTGCTAACAGAGTATCTATAAAATAATAGGATATGCTAGGTTTAACCCTTTTACCATCAGTACGTAGAAGAACTTAATACCATTGAAGGACCACTATAGGCACCCAGACCACTTCAGCTCAATGAAGTGGTCTGGGTGCCAGGTCCATCTAGGGTTAACCCTGCAGCTGTAAACATAGTAGTTTCAGAGGGTTAATCCAGCCTCTAGTGGCTGTCTCATTGACAGCCGCTAGAGGCGCTTCCGCACTTCTCACTGTGAAAATCACAGTGAGAGAGAAGACGCTGACGTCCATAGGAAAGCATTGAGAAATGCTTTCCTATGGACTGATTGAATGCGCGCGCGGCTCTTGCCCCTTACTCCCCCCTTCAGCCCGGCGGCACTATCGCGGTCCTTTAAGTTCTCAAACATGCTAACATGTGTCAGTACAGAGAGAACCTTTAGCATTTACATATCAGACTGCTTGTCTGTCTGTTAGGTCTCAGAAAATACTCAATATACAATGGTAAATGCAGTTTCCAAATATTTGTAGTGTCCAGATAATGCTCAACTTGTCTGTATTAACATTTAGAAGTTACAACAACTAAAACCTGTGTCCAATCAAGAGGACACATGAAGAAGGTGTACTGCAGGTGCAAGTGACCTTTATCAATCCAGTAGAAGAGGTGACCAACAATGCTCCGCTGAAATTAATATTTATATTAATAGTATTCATCTTGCTGTTCTATTTTCACTCCCTGTACCTGCTTCATTACCTGCTTTCATGATTCCTGGTAGTGACGGTGCGATATTGCACAATAACTGGAGAAGACAATAGTTTAAGCGGTAAATTAAATTATTTTACTTTATCACTCTTGGCAAAGACTTTGATACTTGAGCTCATGCTCAATGGAGTTAACTTAGTAACAATGATTAATTTATAATGTGTACAATACGTTTAACCTTGATTAATATGGTATTTGCACAGAGAAGTATAATCTCCTTAAAGAGATACTCCAGGCACCAATACAACTAATGCATTCTATAGTTTTTGGCCTCATAAATATGCTGTATTGTTTTGCATTCTCAATTCTTTATAGCTTTTGTATAAAATAAATGATAAAAAATCAGGAAAACTCTGAATGGGTCAGTGTCAGTCCGGTCCAGCAGGTGGGACGGGGAGCTCTGAGCATCCTGTCCCACCTGTCACCCAGACTTTGCACCCACTGGGCCAGAGCGCCCTAAGCTGGCTGTCTATGCCACCTTGTGGTTGCACTGGCTCTGGTTATATTGCTTATGATGTTGAAAGCTTCCATTAAATAATACTTTGTGTAAACATAATCCGCACAAATGTATAAGTGAAATAAAAACAGAAAGCAGAAAAGAGTATTTAGTTATACTATCCCATATTGTATTTGTGAGATCCTGGTGACCACATGATTATTATATAGTAAGAATCCTACTGCACAATCCTTCATTCAGAGATCTATTATTTGAAAGTGGATACATACTATAGATTCAGAATGTTGTACCAGCAGATGACCATATGTTCTCAGCCTTTTACCACCTCTCCAAATACTTTTCTGGCGGTATTTTCTTATTGTTTATGTATTGTAGTGTTCCACTGCTTTAAAGTTTTGGCCATATTTGCGGTGCAATACTGTATTATATTTCATGATTATACCTGCCTTGTCCCTAGTTATTTATATATTTTATTTCAATATTTTATTTCAATAAATTTGTATCTACATCTACTACTGTGGACCTCGAGTTCTTCCAACAGGAATCTATCGAGAGCCTGAATAGGCACCCAAGAGTGATGTGCATAGAGCCTATGAGGCTCCACCTTTGTGAGTTCAATCCACATATATTATAATTTGTTTATTTTAACTTATATGGAAAGCACTATGTATGTTCCATTTGTTTTTCAGATGTAACCAACATACTTACGTCTACAATAGGTGGTATACCTACTTATGTATATATCTTGTATATACTTTTTGAGTGTGTGTGAATCTATCTATTTATCTTTCTAAATACTTTTGTTAGTCAGTGATCTCAATTTTTCTACCTTATGCCCAGAAATAGAAACTAAACAGAGCTTTAAACGCCCTCTTCGCGATGAATTCTGGAGTACTCTTTTGGACTTTTGTAATTGTTTGACATCCTGTTACAGTAAAATGATGAACAATTGCTAAATAAATTATGCCAACACTTTATTTTATGTTGCCAAAGAAAACTTGAATTTCATGTTGTAATAACAATATCGTAACGTTGCACTTCCCCAACCCACTTGATTATCACGTTGTTACTCTTTGTCATTACGTCATTGGCTGTCTTTTGTATACCGTTTGGCAGAGAAAGGTCAACGTTTCAGTTCATGCAAAGACTGCTTCTGGAAAAGAATGTTGCAAAATAATTGTAATCTGACAGCTAATGGTGAGCTAATGGTTGTTTAGCTATGAGCTAGACCAGGGGGTAGGCAACCTTCAGCACTCCAGTGATTGTGGACTACATCTCCCAATATGCTCTGACAGCCCTATTGCTGGCATAGCCTCAGGGGGGATGCAGTCCACAACATCTGGAGTGCCAAAGCTTGCCTACCCCTGAGCTAGACAACTTAGTCCAAAACAATACTAAATTTATCAATGTCATCTTTCGATGAACCACGAGAACACCTTTCGAAAAGCTATAGCTATAGCTATAGAGGGCAACAAGTTTCTGATTGGCCCGACATTAGAGTTAAGTAAGGCAACATATCTATTTGAAATGGAAATCCATATTTTGTTTCAGCACAAAATTCTCTCTTTACTAAAATGTGCTATATAAAGTTTCCTGTAACTAAGTCTTGGTCGATTATTTTAATGTCACATGTATTATGTTGTAGGAATCACTTGCCAACTAGAGTTTGAATCTAGATT